TGTACTAAACTAATGTACATTGCTGTTATGTTACACTTATATCAAAGTTTTTTCTTCATTACCCCATTCAAGCCGTCTCCAGCCATTATTAGTCTCAAAGTGGGTTCCTCGTCATCGAATTTGACTCCATCTTCATAGTTGGGAGAACTGGCTGTTAGCTTTCTGTTTTTCTTTGTGGGTTTCAAGTTAACTATCACTGTCCATTTTTTTCTTTATATTACTTGTGACTCTTATCCTACCTGAGTCAGTTTGTTTCTGGTCCTGTTTGTATGGTTGAGGATGGATACATTGTTTCCTGAGGTCTTTCTTTTACTTGCTCTAGGCCTTGATGCTGCCCATTTCATCACACTGCACTTCTTCAAGGCCAAAGAGCATACCTTCCAGAAGTGGTGCTGGCCTCCCACATGTGTGCTTCCGTTAAATTACGTAGCACACCTGATCGATTTTCTATGAATGCTTTCCACAATGGTCTCTGTTTTTTTCAATTTATACTGAAACCTCTATCTTCTCAATATGAGATTCTAGCTATTGTGTGAGAGGAGGTACATATATTGTATCAGAAGTTATCATTTTCTCACACTAAAAATAGATTTTTGATAGATCCTTACCTCCTCTCACATTTCCCATCCTTCCTTCCCACTTCTGGTGTTCTTTTGTTTCTTGTGGGCTTAATCTCAAAGGTGAGGTTCAGGTAATGTAGTACAGAGGGAGCCAGCTGCTTTATCAGAATGTGTTATGTTCCTATTGATGGAGGGTTGTCATATGCTCTATGCATGCTAAATGAGAAACTCAAATTTATGTGGTATAAAAGCTAGTGCACCAATGCATTAGAGAGCAGTGGAAGATTGAGAAAAGCTATTGTGTGAGGGGGAGGTAAGTATCTATCAGAAATCTAATTTCAGTGAAAGAAAATGATAACTTTCTGAAGTTTAAACAACTTTGCAGGAAGTTGACATAAAAACTTTATTTCTATGCTTCCATTCTTTTCAGTCCTACCCAGACAGATGTTATGTATGGAATACAAACTTTAAGATATAAAGGAGAAACTAATAATAAAAACTTTTCAATTTACATTGGAAATAAAAAATATTCTTTGTAAAAAATAACATTTTGTTTAGTTCTTGATATTGAAAACCATGTTGCAAGTAGTTGAGCATAAATTTTATCATTTTTATTTCTTATTATAGTTGTTTGTTTTGTGCTCTCAATTATCTATTTGAAAACTTATATTCTTATTTTTAATGTGTATCTTTAAACAAGCATTTTGAAGATTACACAATACAGCTAAGACAACATATTTCAAGTGACTATATGCTTTTCATGAACAAACAAAGATTTATCAATATGTCATTTGTACTATGGTATTAAAGAACGTACAAATCAAAATTGTATAAGAAATATAATAAATACTGTGCTTTTATTTTATGTAGATGCTTAATTTTTAATGTTTTTTAGAAAAAAAGGTTACAGAGATTTATCTGATAGGTTTCATTTTATTTCAGCTGGTTGTTAAAAGGGATTCATCTGTCTATACTTTTAAACAAAAAGACAATCATGTGGAACTATTATTAGGAGAGGTAAGATAAATCACTCATTAAAATCAAATATCAGCAGACATATGTATTCTGCAGAAAAATATTAAATTGAGCCTTTTTTTAAGACAATCAATTTGTGTAACTTTTCTATTTTAGCTTTTTATATAAAGTAAACTTCTAATGATTCCATATAATAAAATTACTTGTTAGTTTAAGTAATTCTAATGAAATGCAAAATGTATTCTAGGTAATTCAACTCCCACTAAAACTTTTCTTTTGTCTGGGAGACTTATTTAGTGCTTCATGAATGTGTAAATGTATCAGGAACCAGTTAGAAATATCATGTATATGTGTAGTTACTACATATCACTGAGTTACCAATCCATTAAAAAGAGTAATTTAAAATATGAAGAATATGTAAATTGATAGCAGTTTCACAAAGATTTCCAACTCAAGGAAGTTTTCATAAGAATCAAGGGGATGGAGTCAAATTTTATATACCAAAACATACATCATTTTATTTAATTTACCCCAAAAAATATTACTACTCAATATTGGTAGAAATTTCTCTGATTAATTTACTAGTCCATTTAAAGAATTCTCTCTTTAATTAACTTTATTACCTCTACTTTCAGTTTAACCATCTCATTTCTTAAACTTAAGTTTTTAGTTCTTATATCTTATTACTTAAACTTAAACATTCATATACAGAGAGGTTACTTACAATAGAACTGAACCTTAAGCCATGCAACAGTTTAGGACGTGGCATGTTCCTCAAATGTGAGTTAAAGCTGACTTTTGGCAACTTCTTACTGCTGACTGATGTAAACTAACTAGCTTGACTCAGCAAAAAAGTCATTGTTGAAAGGCCCACAAAGCCAGTGCTTAACTCCAGTTTTCTGTGACAAAAGCAGATAAGAATGGTACATAACACATTCCCCCTAGGTAGGATGCTATCCATGACAAGTTTACTCACTAGTATCCATTATACAGTTGAGTATACTGAAGAAATTAGGATGAAGTGTTTTGTCCAGAGATGCAACAACATGATGTTGGCAAGCTTCATTTTAACTATGAGTCCAAAGAACTAAAGACAGGGTACTTTAATTGAGAAACAGTTTTTGTATCTTTATTCTTGCCATAACAATTCATGATCATCACATACTATAGTATGTTTGGTTTCACTAAATTAGAATGGTTCTCTCAGGTGTGGGATAATGAATGTTGATAGTGAGTCTCCCACAAATAACTCATTATAGTTTCCATACAACACTGCCCTCTATGGGATCAGATAACACCCTCAGTCATTGAATGCTTAGGGTTATGCCCTTTGGTTAATCATCCTTTGAAGCTTAATGCTAAATCTATCAAGCATTTCTTCACTGTAAAGTTCTGTATATACATACTCATGAGATGACCCATTATCATGTGATCAAAGGGGAAAGTATTAATCACCAGTTAGACCATTACTGCACTCCATTTATGTTAATGATGGTGAAAACCAATCCTTCCTAGTTTGGCTGAAGAATGCTTTTCCATTTGCAATCTGACAAAATTATTATTGAGTAATTTATAATAGTAACCAGAGATATTTCTTCACTCTTAACCAACTATAGAGTGGTTATCTATAAAACTGTCATCCTTATTAATGTATAATTATAACCAGATATGTGCTGTCCCCTACCAAACTATTGGATATGGGAATACTTTATTAATTTTGCTAACCTTTCTTTTGACTTTGTTTGTCTAAAACGTTTCCTAGCAAACTAGAAAAACAAAAAGAGTACCTTGATCAAGATTTGGCTTCTCTTAACAATCTAAAACTATTACACAATGATTTTAATTGCCAGTATACTATATTACTCCAACAATAATCTGATAATCCTCTATTACTACATGATATTTACTTTATTTAACTAAACTAAATGGTATAACTCTTGTTTAGCACATTCATCTTGGGAAACTTTGTGTATAAATTTTTCATCTTCATACAAACAGTCTACTCATGATACTAAATGTTAATCTGTATAATTGACAAGATTAATGCCTGTAAAAGTAAATCATTTAACACTTCTTTTTTGTATGAAAAACACCCTTTAATTTTCGTTAATTCAGGGTAAAGTACATTCTCATATGTCCAATATGCATTATGTACATTCATGTTAAACTTATTTTTTCCAAAATTAAATAACACTATTTCCACATTTCCTCTTTATTTATTGTCAATTATTCCCAAATATAGTGATTGAATACTTTACAGCTAAACCTGATTTTGAAGCTATCTTAAAACAGCCCTTAGGGAAGGATATTTGAACATCTGTCTTAATTAAAGCCTTATTACCTGCCAGTATTTCATAACTGTAGGCACTATTAAGATCATACTCTGCATGTTGCATGATCTTTGGGTTGAATTATGCACATTGTCAGTTAGTTTAACAAATTTTAAAATACAATTAATGATTATGTTAGTTATAGCAACTAGCTACAGAATTTTTAAGCCATAAAATAACTTGTCAGTCTCTGTATTTAAACTGATCGTGATATATACATAGGGGTAATACAACCATAGCTGCTTAACTATTGTCATAAATATTCCATTTTATATGATAAACAATATATACATAGTAGTGTCTGGAATGGGCATGCAACATACGCTTTAAGCAGCTATTTGTAATTGGAGCATGCATCTGCTCCTAATTCACTGCAGAGTAGTTGTGTTCAGTCCTGTATCAGTTTTACTTTCTCATTGCCTTTCACCAGCACCATTGAATATTTAAGTCATAAATGGTTCTTCCCATTCTGTATTAGATGCTAATCTGCCTTGCCATCTTCTCTTTCTGCTTAAGGTAGGGGCTTGGTTACCCAGCTTACTCACCTACTGCTCTCTTCTGAAACTCTGTTTCTGGAATGTAGGGGTTTAAACAAATAAGTTTGAGTTTCATTTGGCTCTAGACATTTAAGGGTTAACTCTTTACTAGAGAATCATTCCCAGTCAACAAGAGTGGTTAATTCTTCACATTTTTTAGCAGCCCTCCCTTGTTTATGGGTATCATTAGGCTCCATTTATGAGAATAAAGTGTCAATTCACCTTTATAATTATTTCCATGAATCACATTCAGATTTTTGCTTTCCCTAACTTTTCCCTAACTTTGGCTGCTTGAGTTAAATGTATTTGTTGTTTTAAATGCTACTTATATCCTCAGCATCATTTCTACAGTATATTCCATATCTAGTGTGTAATTAATCTTCTGTGGAACTGATATATCTTGAATTGGTAACTTTACAACTCTACTGTCTAGAAGAAAAACATACTTTCTTAACTAGACTCATTTTCAGTGCTTTTGTAAGCTAAAAGTAATAAGGAAACCTGCCAATCTTTTGTTTTCTTATCAGATCTACAATACCATGACAGCATATCTAATAAAATCTTGAAATCTTGAAGGTGCAGTACATAAAACCAAAGGCACTATATTAAACTGATATTTTCCTGAAGGCAATATAAATGCAGTTTTCTCTTTGTCTCTATCTTCTATTTTGACTGGCTAATAACCATTTTGCAAAACCATAGAGGTAAACCATTTATTCTGACCTAACTTATCTATGGTCTCTTGCATATTTGGTAACAGAACATGTCCTCGTCCACTATTTTTTAATCCTTCAGAAATCCCCACAGAAATTGAATTTTTCATCTTACATAGGAAATTAAACTACTGGTGCTGCATAAATACTGCTGTTTTCCAATATAACTTCTTGTCAAGCATATCTTTTATACATGCTTTTAATTCTGTGTTTCTCTGGCACTCTATAAGGTATCTATGCTATAAGTATACTTTGTTTTAGTACTAGCTTATGTTTTGCCTTTTTTGTACAACCTTAGAATCACCTTCTTCTTGAAAGCAGTTGAAGGAATGCCCCTCAATTTCCCAATTTTTGACTTAATAGCAAAGTACTCCTTTAAATGATAAATTGAGTCTTGTTTATGACTATCCTGGAAAGTCTCTGCCTCAGTTTTTGAATTCAATATTCATGGTTAGCATAGCAAATAAGGTGCACCCCAAATTCAAATATGTATAAAAACTCCACATTATTTTAATGATAGGCTTGGCATGGCTTGGTAGTTAAGCACTTGACTTGCAATCTGCCAGTCATGAATTTGAACCCCATCATCGAACATGGTCAACATTTCAGCTGTGGGGCATTATAAAGTGACAGTCAATCCCACTATTTATTGGTAAAAAGTAGCCCAACAGTGGGCAGTAGCTGGTGTGGACTAGCTGCCTTCTCTCTAGTCTATCACTTCAAAATTAGGGACGACTGGTACAGGTAGCCCTTGAGTAGCTTTCATATGTTTTCAGACAGATAGAAGCAACGTCAATGGATATCTCTTTCACTATAATACAAAAAATTAAAGTAACAAGATTGAAAGAAGCTGTTGTAAGGGTTTACAATAAAAATAAAAAAGGTATGATTTAGTTTGCTTTTGTTGTTAGAAAATTTATCTGAGTGCTCCTTTTGTTTACATGAAATTCAACAAACAAACAAATCTTTTAATGAGCTTACTAGTCTTTGCTTATGTTTATCATGTATATCTACAAATATAAAGGTCAATTTTTACTTTATCTACACATTTTATTCATACCTCTTATATTTTCCTGTACTGGAGTTACTTACTCTTTGTTGCTAATCTGACCTGTTACTAAATGTATAGGTTGCGCTATTGTATTTTAATTTATATTCAATACTTTTATAGGCACCATGTTTTGCTTAGACAGAATCCATATATACATAACAATTTATATGTTTGATTCATCCATTTCAATTCACTATTTCAATTGATGTTTCTTCATTTTGCCTAAAGCCCTCTAGTTTAGCTTCATTGATATAATAAACTAGCTTCTCTCAGTTTTCTTTGTAGCTCTAACTAGCCTTACAGGTACACGTTCTAACAGATTTTCCTGTTGGGATTCTTTCTTGCTGTCTCTAGGTGTAGTCATCTGAGTGGCCTGTAGTATTTTTTACTTATGTAGTGTTCACTACCTTCATTTGATCTCTCATAATTTTATTTCTATGCACTGCCTTATTTACTATTAATTCTGTGCTTATTTTAACTTCCTTCAAACTAGGCTTACTGTTTTTTTCTTTACCATCACTGTCCTTATTTTCCTTATGCCACTTAGATCTAGTACCATTCTCACTTGTTCTGTACTGTGTATAATTATGTGGAACTTCAATGCTGTTATGTTTTGGCTTCTCATCTTTAGCCTTACTAAATGTATAGTCATCTACTAATGAATTAAAAGTGTGATAAAAAAGTAGGTGGTTTTAAATAACTGGCTTTCATTTGTTTTCAAACAGATAGAAGCTAGGTCAACGTGTTTCTCTTTCGCTATAATACAAGAAATTAAAGTAACAGGTTTGAAAGAAGCTGTTGTAAAGATTTACAATAAAAATGAGAAAGGTAAGATTTAATTTGTTTTTATAGTTATGAATTTAGTCTGAGTGCACTTTTTTGTTTATATGATTTCTGTCTGTTATTTGCTGTTGTTTATCTAGTCAATAGATAGATCTACAAGATAGTTAAGATACCTTAGAGCTTCAAAATTATGTATAAAATAAAGTAGTTGTTTATTATGTTATAATGAGAGTTGTAGAAGACTCAGAAAATAAGTTACAAAACCATGAATTATTCCTTTATCACAAAAGCAGATTTTGATAAATAATGAATTATGTTGCATAAAGGTATGTCATAAGATTGAAGTAATAAATTAATTAGATGTACACCTGTGTCTTTACTGTGCAGATTTTTAAAAAAATTTCAAAAACGTTGCTTTAGATTATTTTAAAACATTCCTGGAAAACAACATTAAGTTTATTGTATTTTTCATTAAATTTTGTGTTAATTTTAATTTTGTAATTTCGTTTGAATTTTTTTTCTCATACAAAAAATTATCACAGTTTTTTCAAGTTCTACCTAGGAATAAAATATAAGAGTAGGAATCAAGTCAAAATTACCTTAATTCATAGAGGAAATTATATGTGATGTATCCATGGTAAAGAGAATTAATTTTAGAGTAATGGGATAGGTCAAATTAACAACAAGTGATTAGGTCAAGATACTGATTATGAAGTAATACTATAACTCTAAGTCATAAGAATTGATGAAATAATGAAACTGGACATCAAGTGAAACATGAAATGAACAATCTCTATTTATATCTCATGTAAGACACAAAATCAGTATGTTTACATGCTTTGACGTGGGACAATCACTTCTACTAGAACTTTTATTTTCTGCTGCTCAATATGAATCCATGTACCAGCCTGACTAAATCCAGTTTGAAAGAAATGTCACTTTTACCCAGAGTGACTAGTGTTACCTATGTGACTGGTTAGATTCATTTAAATACAGGTAAGCTTGTAACCTTCAGATATATGCCTGAACCACCATTTAGGACATTGTTGTCGACATCCGTGCATAACATAGAGTATTGCAGAAACCTTTCCTCTCTGGGCAAACAAGTATCATCTACTCAAGAATAACAAAGAAGTAAAGGTAGTTAGAATAAATAAACTTAATGGCTTTCCCAATCATGTGTTATGTGAAAATCTGCACATATACACAGTAAATGATAAATTCAGAATAAAGATCAGGCTTGTCCTCAAGCCAACAGTTATTTTTACCTTTATATTAATAAACTTTAACTATGCACTCTTGTCAGAGAGTGTGTTAACTTTCTATCACTGCTGAAATTGCTTGTATGTAATACAGACATCACAATCATTAAACAAAGAAATAGAATTTTTAATCAAAATTTGACCACAAATACCCTTTGACAATGAATAAAATACCTAATAAAAAAAATGGTGCTCAAACCAGTGCTGAACTTCTCAGCTTGAATGCTGCTAATATAACTGCTATCAAATGTTAAAAAAATGTAGATGACACCTTGGTGTCCTCCAGTCAATGTGTTATTCAAAAATTAGTGAATTTCGTGTCTCATTGTACTGGGAACCACTAGCTGTAACACAGCTAGTACACCACTGCTTGGTGGTTTATAACACATCTTACTACACTCATAACTGCTCATACAAATACCATAGGTTGCCTTTAGTTGCTCTTCTCAGAACTCCTGAAATGCTAGTCATGGCATCATCTACTTGTTAGATATACATTATTATTTTATTTAAATTTGATATGAGAGTTATGATTTAGATAGTTTTAAAGAGCAAGTGTCAAATTGAGTATTTTTAGAAGAGATAATTTATTGCAGGTTTACTTATGTGACTGTTTACAAATCATTTGTTGTGTAGTTGAATTGTTACTCAAACCTTCTGAATGTTTCTTATTGGTTTTAGTGAGTATTATTACATCATAATGTCTTGATGTTTGTAGTGAAAGTAAAAGTGAAGTTAGACTGCGTGTCAGTTTAGCCATAACAGGTGACTTCTAAAGTGAGTTTCACAGCTTGTATTATTATAATAATGGAGATAGAGGAGAATAATTTGTCATGTCAAAGAGGGTGTTCTAAAGTAATTGAACCTGTCTGTGTGGACTTTGACAAATTAGAAACAATTACTTAAAGCTCTGGATACAACTGTGATACTTCTTACTCCATCTGAAATGTGCCTTTACCTTATTAAGAGCCAGTATGTATAATGAAATCTTGGAAAAGTTGGCCACATAATATGTAAAATCAGGGAAACTGTGGACTTTTCATTTGGTCAGTGGTGGATTTAGCTATTCTGGCACTCAAGACACAACCTCATGTTTGGCCCCTATCATTAGCATTACTCATGATATAATCATTTAGGTAATTCATAATGGTGTGAATTAGTAACTAATATTGTATTAGATATATATATAATAATATAAACTCAAACAAATAAAGAATAAATACCTGTCTCATGTCAAAATTTCCTGCCTTTTTAAATGAAAACTTGTCAATAATGTCTTCATAATTCATATGTTCTAATTCCTTGTTGTCTATGTTCACAAGTGAAAGAGAAGATAAACGATCCTGGGATATTGTGTACCATAAATAGTTCTTCACTCTTCTTAACACAGAAAATGACCTTTTACTCATAGCATTACTAGTAAGAAGAGTTTAAAAAATTCTCAGCACATTTTCTATGTTTCAAAATGTCAACTGCAATTCATTCCATAGTAAATTATACATGCTACTCAAGCAACAAACATTTTTTTCTTCACAGAATTTTAAAAAATGTCCAGCTGCTTCTTTAAATGACTCAGGTGTCTATATCACTCATATATAAGTTAGATAGTTTCTCCAAACATTCATGTTTTTTCTTTATTAGCTATTTTAAAATCAAAGAATATTTTAAAATATTTAATAACATCACTGTAAATTTCAATTCGTTGTCAATTTTGGTAACTAATCAGTCAAAAGATACAAAGAAAACACTTTAAATGAATCAGTCTCTTCCTGTTAACAATACTTCATTATTAGTATTTTCATCAAATGATATTTTCCATCTTACTTGCCTGCTTCTTTCTTCATAAAATAATTTTTTCACCATTGGTGGATAAATTACTTGCTTCATTTTCAATGGATTCAAAATCATTTCCAAATTCAAAGATGAATCATTTCAATGAGGTTAATAGTGCTTCTCCCTTCAAAATATTCAGCCTTGGGTCTTATAATGATAGATTTACAACGTTTACTTGTTGTAATATTTTGGATCAACATGAAATCATCAGTTTTGTTTCATAATCATAAACCTTTTAGTTAAATGTGTAGCTTCTATTCTATTGTTAATTTTGTGCAGGAGTTTCACTAATTTTTGAAAAAATTCCTTGATATTACAAAACTTATTTTTAAAAGCTTTTGTAGACAGTCTGGTCTTGCATACTTTTTTAATGTTATATTCTTTCCTAGGCAATTCGTAAGAATGTTCCATTATTGTGTAGAAGTAGAGAATAATACAAATAAATTTTGCACAAAATTAAAAATTAATATTGCTTCAGAACACGATTGTGCTGTATAATTGCCAACTAGATTTAACAAATGGCTATCATAAGGTATAAATAAGGCTGATGCTCTTGTTTTTTAATTCTTGTCTTAAGTCCCGAATATTTTCCAACCATATTTGAAACATTATCGTAAGTTTGTCCACTACAGTTTTTGATGTATAGATTTAATACTTGCAAAGTATTTAGCACAGCTTCTTCTAAATTTTTAGCAGTGTGAAACTTTAAAGGAATAAATCCAAAAAATCTTCCATTTATTTGCCTGTCGTGTTCAATATAGTTTATTATAAAAGTAAGTTGATAGATATGACTTATGGCTGGCATTGAATAAATAATCATGAACAAATAAATTGCTCTTTTAACTTCATTTTTCGATTTAAAAAGAAGCTCATTTTCCATTAATTTTGTGAACAAGTTTGATGTGACAAATAGTTTTTAATTCCTTTACCCAGATTATTATAATGTTTCAAATGATTTTTTAAAAAATCATCAAATTTGTTAAGCTACTCAAGACAACTGAAATAATTATATTTCCTGTTTGAATTTAAACTTTTGTTGTGGACTCGAAATACTCATCCTAATTTAAACAACAATTTTACAAAATTTACAATTTCAAAATTTCAATATGTTCACTATCTATTTGTTTTCTCATTTCATAGTCAATACAACCAAAATTAGAACAAACTTCTACAATAACTTCTGTTAGGATCTTGACACACACATGTCTTCAATATTTTTGGGTTTATTTATTATGTAATAGTCAATAACTAGTCAAGCAATATCCTATGAGTAGTTAATAGCTGGACTTCAATTTGAGCTTGAATTTGGATTGGATCATTAATGCTAGTTGAGACTGTATTCATTTGATCATCACAAGACTCACCAACATCTCCTTCATTCTCCTCAAATAAGTTAATTCTTTCACATTCAACTGCATGGAACTGAGGAATTGCACCTCATTTCTGAGTCTGTAGCCTTTTTTTTCTATTAGTTTTCATTTTTCATTCTTTGCTTTTTTCTGCACTGGACTGCTATACCCTTTTTTATTTTTCTTACTGCAAAAGAAAAAATAACACTTTCATTAAAAAAAAAATCACCAAATACCTATATTTGCTAAATTTCCTTCCATAAGGTGCTTATAGTATTATTTCCACTTGTGGAATCTTGTTAACTGAACTTCGCTTCTCAGGGCAAAACAGCCACAGGGTGGTAAAATGCATGTTACAATTTGTCGTTGGTGTCCTTCCCATGCATAACAACACTACACATGTGTGTTGTATGGGCTTGCCAACTTTTTGAAATAAATTCCAGGAGATAAATGTGTGTGTATATGTATGTATTTAAATTCTTATAATTCATATACAGTATTTAAAAATTGCAGGCATATAAAGGCTAATAATATGCAAGAGATAGGTTGATAACAATTCATGTGTTTAAAGAAAACTATTTCCAAAATAATGATAATCTTTTATCTTAAAAAATATGCATGAAAATACCAAAATAAGCATTCTACTTTTAGTAAGAAATATTTATTTAAATTTATATTTATTTTCACTATATGTACCATATGTACTAAAATTTTTAATATAAATAATTTTAGCTGATCCATGTAATATATTCTTTTTCTGTGACTATTTCTTTCTTTCTTTCTTTCGTGGGACAGAAAAGTGTTTTGAATTGCAAGCAAAATATTTTTTAGAGAATGCAGAATATTAAGAAAGCCTTCCATGAGCTAGGAGAATATATATGCTCTTAGGATACTCCTGGTGAATCCAGGAGTGTTGGCAAAGCTAGTGTTGTATATAAATTATAGAAATGTAAACATATATTTTGAATTATTTGAGTGGTAAAAATTTAATTTTTAAGTTGCCCAAAAGGTGCTTTTAAATTTGGCATAGGGAATGGAAAATAAGCAGTACTAGGATGTTTCAGTACAAGATGTTTCAATGAATGACAAAAGTGAAAGGGTTAAGGTATAGTTTAGTTTAGTTGAAATATAAATCACATACTTTGCTATAAAGGTATATATATATTGCTCTTTGTGTAATGAATGAAAAATAAACAACAATAAAATATGACATATATATGTTCCGTAAAATATGAAACATGTATATGAACATTTTTAATTTAGAGTTTGAGGCCCCCCTCAATTGGGTGCCCTTGGTGGGCATCTTTTGCAGTTAGTGATAAATCCACTACTGCTTTTAAACAAGCAATCTCAGATATGTTGGTTTCTGTTACTTCAGCTTTGCTTACCAAGCTAATTGTGTTTGATTTCATGACAGGAAACAGCCTATTTTATGTGTGGGCTTTATAAACTTATTTCACGGCACTGAAAGTGTAGACTTTATCTATTGTAAACCACAGAAAATTACTTGTGTTCATGGGGTACTGTGACTTCCTCTTCCACATACACTCATGCAGTTCACTGTTCCTGGAATTGAACTGACTTGTGTTGTATAACTATACTATTCCAATACTTCTGATGCTAGAACTGAGGTCAGTGATGACTGTTTTCATTCTGTAAGTGAAACCTTCCAGACATGGTCAAGGCTTAGCCTCTCTGTTTGTGTCTAGCTTATCTCCAATTGCCAGAATAAAGTTTGTGTTAATTGGCCTGATTGGTGGTTTTGTTGAAGTGTCTGATATACTGTGAGATTTACCTGTGATCTGGCCATTCCTATCTCTTGCCTTTGTACTCAGACAAGCACATATAAAGACCTGAGAGAGCTGTGCTGACCACCAGTACCTTCTGGTGCAAGTTGTTCATTTCACTCCCCAAATTGGTGTCTAGATCTGACTTGTACTTTTCTAGTTTCATGGAGTTGTAGCAGCAGTGTTTGGCTATCCTGCAGCCATTGAACTGATAGCTTTGTACACCATGACCAGAGCAAGGTATGGGCAATTTACTTGAAAATGACCTAACATTTCATATGCAAAGCAGTACACTTTGCTCCTCCCTTCCAGAGTAATGTCTTTGCAGAAGCATCGGCAGTAAAGGTTGTGGCATATAAGCCATGGGAGGGCTGAAATATTCCTGCAATTTCACTGGATACCACTATGGTTGCATTACAGTTCTGGAATGTGTGGGTGGTTGGTGACAGAAACTGCCTTAGTAAGGGTGAGAAGATCTCTCACACTCAGATGATGTTGCATTATCTCACTGGATAACCTTTTCACAAACTTGACAATGAGTATATCCTCATGATTGGCTGAAGCCATGGCAGCGTAAAGCTTGATATGCAAATGATGCAGGTTATCTATGTAAGTGGTCAAGCTTTTTATGGTACCCTTCTTCTGAGCCTTGAATTTAGCCCAATGGATTGCTCAGCTTCCACTAAGTCAAGCCTCTTTAAGTATCTTTATAGATACTTTTATTAAATGAAAAATTATAATTTGGCATTAAAAGTAGTAGTTGTATTTATTTAAGGTTCTTTTTATTTTTTATAATATTTATATTTATCTGAAGAAACGTTTGTGTTATGGTGTCTATATTGAAAATAATCAAAACACTAAATGTTTCATTCATCTTTTTCTTTTACCTCTCTATTCTAGATACTGAAACACTCTTCCAGTTTTTAGTGCCCAAGGAATGCTCTAAGGTTATTCAAGAAGATATAGTGTTCCAAGACTTTGTTCCTAATGACTCACAACTATATATGTCTAAGCCCAGTAAATGCCCAGGTGCTCCTCTTAGTTGTCCAAATTGCCTAAGTTCACTTGATGGTGATGTTCGTTACAAACTGAATTCTTTCAAGTATGGTATGTTTTCTTTCTTTAGGTGCGTATGCTTGTATTCAGATAGTGTTTATATGTATATAAATTACACTTATATAATATACTTCCCAAAAAAATCAATTGTATAATAAGCTTATTCCTAAATTGGTGTTTCTAAAAATTTAATTTATTAGTAAGGTACTCTTTCAACTTTTTTCTCAACACAAAAGGCTACTTTTCAACCAGAAATGTTCTTTTTATTAAGTTATCAATTTATCATACATAAAAATACACATTACAAAAGTCCCATTATATTATAGATCTTTAAATATTTAAAATAGGCATGTTTCTTAAAAGCAAGTAAAAATGAGGATTGCTCAAAAAGGGTATAAAGGATAAAATTTAAGAAGAGGATTATAAATTTAAATAGTTTCAACTTGCTGCATTGATGGGAGATTTGGGGGATATATAGAAGATCAAGAGAATTGATCAAATGAGAAATTAGGAAATATAAAAGTATGTGAAAAAAAAAAAGGTTGGCTGAAATGTAAAAAATTAATAGTAATGATTTTTACAAAATGTTAGGATTGGGTAGTCTCTGAGGCATGATTCATGAAGGCTAATATCTGATGATTATAAGATGACTGGGTTTTTAAATTCTACTTCTTCTTCAATTCTTACTAGTAAACATTTAGGCAGTGTTCCTCATCTTGAACAATTGATAGGTGGAAACAAGACCAAACAAGATGACCACATTAATTCTGAGCTTGTTAAAAAAAAATGGGAAGTTTAAAGAATGATAAGTTTCCTGGGCCAGATAATATTCTCTCAAGGGTTTTGAAGGAGGTTATGGATTGGATATATGAGCCACTTGCTACTACCTTTTGTAAGTCCTTGAATAATGGGCAGGTACCACAGGGTTGAAAGTTGGCTAATGTTACTCTTCTTTTGAAGGGAGGTGATAAAAATTGTTCCAGTAATTAAAGGCCTATTAATCTTACATCTGTTGTGGGAAAAGTTTTGGAAAGGCTGTTAAAAGATTCTTTGCTAAGTCATACAACAAAGTTTAGAACTTTATTGGATAGCCAACATGGTTTCACTAGGTGAAAATTTTGTCTTACAACTCTTTCAACATTCTTTGAAAAGGTTACTGCTTATGTAGGTTAGGGTAAGGGTGTGAATTTGATATATCTTTATTTTCGAAAAGCATTTGACAAGGTGCCACAAAAAAAAAGGTTCATTAAAAAGTTATCTTTGTAAGTGTGGGAGATAAGTTGTTTCATTGAATAGAAAACTGACTGGATCGGAGAAAGCAGAGGGTTGTTATAAATGGAGTTCAGTCAAACTAGATTACTGTCACAAGTGAGGTACTTCAGGGCTTAGTGTTAGGTCTTTTGCTCTTTTGATTTACACCAAAGACATGGATGAAGGAAGGATCAATGTTCCATTTGTTTAATTTTCTTCTTGACCTTAGATGTAAGATATGATGCATAATGAAATCTGTTTAATGCAGAAACTCATGGGCCTGTGAAAGTTATACAAACTTCTATTACTAATAGTAAGCTTTCTGTTTTTCCTGTACCAAATAAACTGTTAGACTTAAACAAGCATTATCTTTACTTAATGAAACTCAATTCCATGATAATACTGTGTAGTATTAACCTTTTAGACCTACAACCCAAGAAGAATTACACAATCAAGTGTAAGGTGGTTGTCTTATCTCTGGTTGCATCATAAGGAGGTTAAGCAAAAATAGAAAATATTCAAAAAAATAAATGGCAGATAACAAATAATCAACCAATTATTGTCAGCTAATTCACTGGTAATTAAGTAATTTTTATACTGGACAATCGTGGATTATTTTGTCTCTTATGTTCATTATGAAATCATATATACAAAAGTCTTTCTTCACATTCTGGAAGTCTTTTTTTTTACAAAAACCTTTACATTGTAACAGATTTTAGTAACATCTTACACTTTGGAATTAAAATGAAATTAATTTCCAATAATAATTTCAAAAATTCAAAACAGCTGATAGTAAACTAATAAAAAATAACTCAAAATATATGAATTATTTATTGTGTGAAATTTAAGAATTTGAAAATTAAATCATAAATTTATAGAATTTAAAAAATAAAATTATTTAAAAGACAAATAAAAGTATATCTCAAACCCTACCAACTTATATGAAACAACTAGTTTATGGTAGGTGAGGAAAATAAGTAGCTACTCATTCAGTTAATTGGAAAATTAAAAAAAAGCTCTAAACTATATACATTTAACAATTCACTTTATATACACAGTTTTACCTATTGGCACTATTAGTATTTAAAAGCTTTGCCCAAATAAACTCTCAATTTACCTTCAAAGACTAGAGGAGTGAAAATGATCAATAATTTTTTTTCTCATTAACTCCAGTATGTATATATAACTTGTTAGTGTGGTTTATTATTTATTATTTTCTGTTGGTTTCTTTTGAAAAACAATAAACATTTGTTCTACCATTTGTGCAAATATAAATAATGATGATAATATAAATAATTAAGGGCACATAGAAGTGTTTCTTTGTGACTTAGTGGTCAGTCTGAAGGCTTATAATTCTAAAAATTGGGTTTCAACACCTATGGTGAGAAGAGCATAGACAGCACATTGTATAACTTTGTGCTTAACAACAGAAAAACATGTAGTAGTAAAAATAAAGTTAAGATTATTTAATTGTATATTGAATAATTAGAAAATTCTGTAATACTTACTTTGAATCACAATAAGATATATTGATACATGCCAGTGTTACTAATAGCTAATATTAATCAAGTCTCAGGAAAAATTAAACTCATATCAATTCTAACCAGGCAAATACTGTACAGGTAAACACTGCTATGTTAATTTGAATTCATTATATGTTTCAAGGATTAATATACAATTCATAATACTCAATTGTACATTATTTCTAGTTAGCCATGTTAATATTTCTACTAGGTTGACCTTAATTTAATCCTAACTCCATATTATGATTTTATAGTAATAAAAATCATATTTTCTTTTCAAATTTAGTTCTGATTGGAGAAATGTTTAACAAGCCTAAAGATGGTATGTAATAGTCATAAATTACATTGAATTCTTGGATTATATGCTTAGAAAATTAGGCATTTGTATATGAGATTTTAAAAGTGTATTAGAGTGTCACAACATCAAATCAAGTTATTAAGTTTTAATTGTTAACAAATACAGTAGTTTTGATCATTTTATTATTAATCTTTAATGTGTGCATAGTTGTGCAATAATGTTTGCTTGCATTTTGTATTTTATTCCAATTGCTTCATTTGGCAAAACTAACGGCTTATTTAACCTTTAATAAATTATTTGAATAAGTGTATAATTTGCTCTCAGTGTTAGTTTTAGATGATTATCAAGTATGAAGTGTGAATAAAAAATTATTTTATGGAAATTGCACAACCTTATATTTGATATGATAAAAATACATGAAATAAATATTAATTATTTTTATTCAAAGAGGCTTTTATTTTAAGTGTTTCACACTTTCTGTTAAATATTTTAATTTCTAAAGTTAAGCTAAATAAAATTATCACTGTCTTCAAATCAAAATTTTATTGAAATATAAGAAATGAACAATATACAGGTAAAGTATTTAATTGTATTACAAGTATGATTGTATAATGTTCATTGTGATTTTTTTTTAAATTAATGCATTTATGGTTTTCTTTAGCTTGCATGTCAATAGTGAAATGTTTTGAAAACATATAGTTGTCAAAGAGGTACATCATATTGTTTGAGAAAATTTCAAACAACTAAAAATGTGGCTTAAAAGGTTTCAAAAGGCCAATAAAACATTCAATGACTGACCCTTTTAAAACAGCAATTAATGTGATATTAGAAAAGAAATTGACATTTTACTTACTTAGGTCACAGTTATCAGTCCAAGAAATTGACTCTTTTTACTTATTCATGATCAAATATATAATATTTAGTAGTTAAGATTCAGGAAGTTGTTCTTGAATAATTTTTGGTTTCTTATTATTCTGACAGATGATGGTAGTTTATGTGGCTCCTTCTCCATTATTAAGTTTCTAAAAGGTAACAAGAAACATTTCAACAGAGAAGTCCACTTCAGAGTTAAGAATAATTGTGGATGTAACCTGATACAACGCACAAGAGGTAAGTTTTTTTTTTGTATTTAAATACTTAAATTGTTTTTCATCTAATTGTGCTGAAAAGACTGTTAGGATCTGTCAGTTTTGTTTAGTTAGATCCCAGAAAATTAAAGTAGCATTAGGAATAACTTAATGGTTTTATAATATTTAAATATTTTAAATTTTTTGTTAACCTACCAATTATAAAATACCATGAAAACTAAGTGTTTTTTAAAACATTCAAGTGTTAATTGATAAGAAGTTCTTCCTTTTCTTGTTTTTTTTTTGAGATCGTTTCTGTGGCAGTAAAGAATTTGAAACATAATACAGTTATAGTAAAATAATAGAATGAGAGCTACATGAGATAACAGCTAGCTAGGTAAAAATACTCAGATAAAATATTTTAACTAAACACAAATGATGCAATAGGAATAAAGTTGTTATAAACTTCTGTCATCATTTCCTTACTCTAATTATAGCTTGAAGAAGCTAAGAGTAATACAAAGAAGCATTTTGAAATTAGAATATTCCAGAATAGAATTAAGAAATTCTAAACTACCAAATAAAAATAAATTCGGCAAACGAAAGATTGCTTTATTTTGAAAGAATATAGGATTCAAAAAGTTATTAGTTGTAGCTTTATTCTGAATATTACTTGTTCAAAAAATAGGTGAAATTCCTAAACATGACAAGATAAAATTTCAAGTACAAAAGACTAGTAAAATATTCTGTATTTAAACTTTGTTATGTCAGAATTTTAATCAAAACGAAATAAAAAAAACATTTACAGCGTGTTTCATTTTTTAATGACTTAGATATACAGAGAAAAATTTGATAGGGTTGATGTCATAAATATTGTATGGGGATCCCCCGGTAGAACAGTAGTATGCATATGGACTTACAACACTAAAGCCCCCCAGTGGCACAGCAGTATGTCTGTGGACTTATAGTGCTAGAAACCGGGTTTTGATACCCATGGTAGGCAGAGCACAGATAGCCCTTGTGTAGCTTTGTGCATAAACAAATATGACACTAAAACTCTGGGGTTTGATTCCCTGTGGTGGACACAGCAGATAGACCAATGTGGTTTTGCTATAAAACAAACAATAAACAAACTGTATAGTGCACTATATTAATTCAGCTCAACATAAGATTGTGTAGGTGGAAGTGCCGATAAAATTGGTTTATGATATTCCTGTATCTGATTAAATAACTTTATTTTATACTTCATTATTGGTTTCTTATAAATTCGGTAAATGAAAAATTTTTTAAAAGTGACAGGCATTGATTTTTTACTTTGAATGTTATGGAGTGTTTAAATGTTGAAGCAGAGGCTAATTGTTGAATAAACTGCCTAGTAATTTTGTTAAACCTAAGTCTAAAGAATATTACTCTTGCTCATTTGTGTTACTTATATATTAGTTTTACTGACTTAGAGCAAAGGAAACACTACAATTAGTACATCTTAAGCTTTCTGCATTTATAATGTTTAAATAAAAAATGTTAGTACATTTAGAAAACACTGGTTTTGTACCTGTGCTTTTTTACTGGTAAATAGTAAAAATATTCAAAAATATTTATTAATGCTACTTTTTTCATCTTGGGAACTTTTTCTGTCTGAGAAATTTTGAAAGTTGGTGTTTGGATATTTAATCTTTATATTATATGATTTTAGTAACAAACTAAATAATTGAATATGCATATTTATATAATGAGCATGATAATGTTATTTCTTACTGAATAAGTTATTATTGTTTTTGAAGAATTTTCACAGTTCACAATGTCGTCTTCTTCCTTTCATAGGAAAATTTATATTGATCACAACCAGTAAAGTTTGGATCAAGGAGAGCTATTTGTTCACATCACTTGTGCTCAGCCAAGGTGTATATGTAATAAATTATGACAACTTGAATGATGTGAAAAATGCACTTACACAGAGTGATCATGTCAGTGGAAGTCCAGATGCTCCGTATTCCTGTCCATATTGTTTACCTTCTGTTGATAAACATCTTCAAAAAAGTATTTCTTCCTTTGACAATGGTAAGTTTAATCACAACTAAAAAGTAGTATCCTTAATAAAAAATACTTAATTACAGACTTAAATTTTTATTATTCCAGTTTTTGTGTATGCAGACCATGACATTTTTTTTATAAGTATTTCTGATTTGTGTTAAGAGGAATTATGTGTCTATGAAAAATTTTTTTTCAACTTCTTATGTGCAAGCCCCATAGTGGTCAGAAACCAAGCATGCATTTTAAGAGTTTTGCATTTCAGCTCAGGCAGTACTGAATTTCAGAAAGATTGTGTTTCATGAATTCTTATTTCTGTGGTTTTGCTTGGTAACAAGAAACTATGATTTTTCCAAAACATCATTTTTTGGGTTTTTGTTATTATCAAATTGCATCACACTTCATATCATTCTCTAGGTGTAAGAAATTGCCATGACTTGAATTTCAATCTGTGACAGTTCTTGTAAAAATTAATGCAACATAATAATAATATTCTGATTTTGCTGTCAAATTTCTGTGTCATGTTGATTAAATATACATCTAACCAGTCCCTAACATGACTGGAAAATTGCCTGAGAACTGTATTTTTGTGTCTCTAGTTTTCACTCCAAATTCTGTTACCAAGTAGTAGAATTTTGGCAAAAGATGATAGATAGCATGAGCAGCTCATGTTTTTATACAGCTTAAAGAGAAGACAAATGTAATAAATGTTGCTCTCTTTATATATTAATCTATATAAATAGAGATGCTGGATTGCTAAGAGATATATATGTGATTTAGGGGAAGCTAATAATGGTCATATAAACACTTATCAGTTGTTTTTTCACATTCTCAGATAAACACATTAAAGCAAATTATGTTAAACTTCATATTTTTGTACTATAAAAATTTATTGTAATTTATCCATCTATTTTTCAGTTTTAAAAATCAAGATTCAGGAAAATCCAACCAAAGGTAAGAATTTGTTTTAATATTTACAGCTAACAGTATAAATAATGTAACAAAAGTATAGCTCATTTTCACTTCTTATTTTGCTGTTTCAGACATAAGGAAGTTTAATAAAAGAACATAAATTAAAATGTTAAAGGATAGGCACACCAAAAATTGAACTCCCTCACTACTTGTAGTGTTATTATAGTAAAAAAAGAAAACATTTTTCACAGGCAAGTATCATAATCTTGAAATGCAAAGAGGTCTAACATATATCAATAAATATTATGCTTTTCAATTTGAATGTTCACAAAGATATTTCATTTGTTAAAACAGTTGTCTCGTGGAAAAATTATATTTCAAAACTAGTAATCTCCATCAGGCAGATGATGACCCAAACAGATGTGGTCAAAATATGTAGCAAAATATCTTTGTCTTGCACTAATGAATAATTGTTTTTTAAAAGGTGTATTACTTTTTGTTAATTAAATATAACAATACATATGAGTAAAGCAGTTAAACTCAATGTTTTACTAATGAAATTATGTCTGAATTACTATATGTAAAATAAGTTTCAAATATTTTTTTATTTCTGGTAACTTCAGCTTACTTAGATATTTCCCAAGATTTTCCATGCAAAGTTAATGAAATTGACTTTAGTTTGGAGTACATGAAGGTTATGATTGTTACTTATATGTCAGTTTTTGGTTTTTGTTTGTTTTGCTCAATGCTTTTTTTTTCTCGATATTTTGAGAAAACAACTTAAAATATTGCATTTTAATAAACCTACAAGATCTATCATGTTTTTTTTTACTAGTTGTATTTACACTTCAGATTGCAATCTTAAAATGCCTGTTTTCTTTGACTTCAAAACAATACTTCTACTTTAAGCATTATTGTAATATAACTTATTGTTTAGCTAAAATTCATATAGTTATTTATGTGAACTCTTATTTATGTTTAACTGTTGAAGAAAAAATATTTACAGTTGTAGAAACATGATGATTCCCAATTTTATGTTAAATATATTAGAAGAATAATATATGGTCTTTGAAATATTACTGTACTGTCAACAAAAGTAAATATAGAAATAATAAATATAAACCAGGTTAAAAGAATATTACCTGGACTTAGTTTATAAAAATAATGAGCTTCTTAAGTATTCTGTATAGATTATTTCCATATAATTCTCATGTTTAAGTAGTCAACATATTGTTATAGTTTCTTACTTGTGGTATATCCTCCTCTCATATAAGTAAAAGCATCTGAAATGTATGAAATAAATTACTTATTCTACAACAAAAGAAGTAACTTATGATTACTTTAAGTTTACTGATTAATGTGATTTGAGATAACGAGAAAGTAGTTGCTATAACTGGATAATTTCTGCAAATTTATAGGAAAAGAAAAATTTTCTGGTTTCTTTGTGGTTACTGAGAAGTACAAGAGCCTCCAAGATGACTTTGTAGAGCCAGTTACCTTCAGTGTTAAGAGTGGCTGCTTTTGTGATTATCTTACACCTGGTATGATGTTAATGTACTTGTTTGAGTTATTAAAAGTGACTTACTAGCAAATTATACTGAGATAACCCTTTAGCTTAGTTGTTAGAGTACTTACCTTGTGTATTACAGGTCTTGGGTTCAAATCCGAGGTAAGGAAATATATCATGTAAAAATGAGTAACATAGTATCTAGTTTTATGTGACTCTATCCAGCTATTACTTGTGATATGCAGCTCACATTAATGGATGTTTTAAAAAAAAATTGTGTATACATTGTGTATTTTCTTCAATACATACCAACTAGTCAAACACGTGTCTCTTCTTTTCAGTTTTTCTTAGGCCAGTTCTACCTGCAAATTACTTCTGTAGGATTCTTCATTGTCTTCCTTACTTGAAATTTTCTACAGCTTGAAAAACCTTCTCAAACCAACATTTATTCTTATAACTACCTTAAATTTTCAAACAAACAATCATTCTTAAAATCACATTTTCTCATAACTTTTGTTGATCACCTTGTCTATGTCATCAGAGTTTTATTCTTTTAACCACATGTAAACTGCTCTGATCATACAGCTTCTTCTGTTTTGTTTATATGGTTACCCATTTTCCCACCTATATTTTTTAACACCATAATAACTTATAACTAGTGGTACAGTAGCAATTTCTGCATTTCATGATCAACTTAGTATTGATAGTTTTTTCCAGTTTGCTGCAACCGTTGATCCCCTTTCTCCTCCTGTACTAAAGCTGCTTAACACTTACTATAGTATTCTTACCTAATGTTACCCATCATATGTAAAAGAACAAAAGTCTGAACAATAACCTAATTTTTTTACCTTGCAATCTTTTTTAATCATAGAAATAGAAAATAAGGACTTAATCTGTAATGTTTTTATCAAAATTCTAATGTTGTTAGAGGTATAACTAAACCTAGTTTTATAAAATTATTAGAATTTGTCACCAAAGAGACAATTTTTTTTTAATGGTTGTCATTATGAACAACTTGATGGAGTGTCTATGGGTTCAAGTGTTGCATCATGTTTGGCTAATTTGTTTTTAAGATATTTCAAAGAAAAGTTGTTAAATATTGTCTGGAAAAGTTTAAACCATTATATTATGTTGATGATACTTTTGTAGTTTTTAAGAATAAGCCTGATATTCAAAAATTTCAAAATTATCTGAATAATAATAATAAATAATAATATTAGATTTACAGTTGAAGAACAAACAGCTAATAGCTTACCTTTCGTAGATACCAAGATTGTTAATTTAGGTAGACGTTTTAACACTAAGTGCTATCATAAGCCAACTTTTACAGGACAATATTTTTATTTTGATAGTTTTTTACCTTTTGAATTTAAAAAATAACCTAATTCACAATTTAATTCACTGGGCTTATAACATAATTAATTCTTTTCCTCATTCCATGAAGAAATACAAAACATAAGGTTGTTTTACAAAAAAATTGTTTTCCTGTCCAATATTTGATATTGTTATCAGAAATTATTCAAAATCTTTGAACACTCCAAAAAATTAATAAACAGGTTGAAAACAAAGAAATAGTTTACTGTTAATCATTCTATAGAATTAAATCTATTGTGAATAATAAAATTTACCCACATATTAAGTTTAGAATTGTCTCTAAACCAATGTTTCACTTAAGTAATTATTGTAAATTTAAAGACAGGATTCCTAGAACGCATCGCTCTTATGTCATGTATAAATTTACATGTCCAAGGTGTAACCTTGGCTATGTAGGCTTTATAGACAATAAATTGTCTGAGCTCACGTATTAAAGAACATGCACAATACACAGCATATAATCAGTCATCCATCCTTCACCACTGTTTACAGTACTGTGACATAAATGTCACTTCAAAACACTTTTAATATCTTGGGAAGTGCAGATAGTAGAGAAATGCTCTGCACTAAAGAAAATTTGAGGATACACAAGATGCATCTTAAATTAAATGTTAATCAGCACAGATCTACTTACTAATAATTGCCCCACTCCTTCCTTTCCTCCTCTTTCTGTCAATTGATTGATTCTCACACCTTGGATTATACTGCCACTGCCTTTATCATTATCCTCAAAGATCAAATTTTTTTCAATAAAAGTGCAAAACATATGAAGATGCAATAATTGCAAAAAACTACTCCAGAGCATCACCAGCATTTGTATAAAAGAAATGTTCATCAACAACTGCAAAGAGCAAATGAAACTAGCCTTTAATATTGCTTCCTTTAATAGGAGAAGGCTGCCTTAGATTATCTATGCCTGGCAGCTGAAACTTGTACATACAACCACACCTACCTTCACCAAATGAATGACTGAAATAAAATTAGTAGAGCAATAGAAACTACTCCTGAACATGGTTTTTCAGCTTCTATAACAAGCTGCAAAAGACAAAGTGCAGCGAGGAGAAACAGAAAATGATCCACATTACAGTGCAAGCCTGCATTAAAATGTTGTGCAAATGAACTTGCTCTGTACTAGCTTTTTATAGGTTTACCAAAGACATAGCTGTTAATAAGCTTCCTTTTATTACCAAATAAAAGTTGTCTACTGTGCATTGCATTAGGTAATTTTCTAATGTTACTGAACTAGTAGATTTTTGCTAAAGACAATCCCCTTTATTCATTTTTGTATTTTTTTAAATTTACAGTTGTGTGCTTCATAGTCTTTAAAATATGTCAAAAACAGATGAAATTACTTGTTACACAGACATTTTTTACAAGATGAGAGACCACAATGTCTTAGCTTAGTAACAAACTTCTGACTTGGTTTTAGGATCCAAGTACTGTAACCTTTGAATATTGAATAGTCATTACAGAAGCATCACTTAAATCTCATACTATCTGTTTGTCTATAAGGTTCTGGCTCAATTTGGATGTTATTGGCCATTCAGTGCTTTGTTTTTATCAGGTGAACTAATCTTGACACTCAGTGGCAGTGTACAGAGCCACTATTAAAAAGCCCTTCTGTGATCATCTAGCTTGGAGGACTGAATGATACTTATGACTAGTAATAAAACATAGTACTATTAAATTTAATACTTTGCTAGCTAAGGTACTTTATAGTGAAAAATGTGAAATGTTTTCAGGCTTATTCTACTCTTTCATGGTCCTCTGGTGTTAGTCTACATTAGAAGTGTCACATATTTAGCACATAGACCTCAGATTATACTTTGCATCCTAAATCTGTTTAATAATATTTAATTTTCTTGAATGTGTTATAAAATGCCTTGATATTTATTAGTGTTCATTTTTATTTACCTTTTGTAAATATACCATTATTCTAGGGTAACAGTGCTGATGTTTAATTGCTGTCAGTTGCAACTTTTAAATTTTTAAATGTTTCTAGGCAATTTTCTTCTGTTTGCTGGAAATGATGCTTGGACAGAAATGAATTACAAAATGCAGATGACAGACCAAGTGTACATTGTAGCTTACAGCAGTACAAATGAATATGAGGTTCAAAAAAATCTAAATTCAATTAGTGATGATTACAGAGTAAGCGTAGCACCATACTTATATACGGACTGCCCTCCAGAGCCTTTTACCTGTGTGAAATGCCGAACCAGCATAAACTACTATTTGGAGAAGATCATTTGTATCTTTGATATCAGTAAGTTCATTATGCTATGATATGTCTGATATTATATTAATTTAATTCTTTATTCTAGATGAAGTAATCATTTTGTATCATTATTTTGAGATGTTGCTTTGGTGATGTAGTTGTTTGGTATCAACATTTTAATCATTGTTTAATTTCTTATTATGTTTTTAATTTATTATCACATGTGTGATTTGTTTTCTAGCTGTTGATAATTTCTTCAAAAAACTTAAATTTTTTGTGCTGCTAATTCACCATATCATAGTGTTTTCAAAGTCAGTGGTGGCTTGTCAGAGGAGGAAAAGCATCCTCAAAGCTTTGGAACAAATAAAATATTTATTATTTAAACATTAATACAGTGTTTCCCAAACTATGGGTTGCGACCCACTGGTGGGTCACAAGCAGAATGTTAGTGGGTCGTAAAATGTTATACTAGAATTACGCATTAGCTTCGATTAAACACTGTCTGTCGAGATAGTTCAAGACTCGAGCTTTCATTGCCAGGCTGTTGTTGTATCAAGCAGTACGTTGTTTTGACGAGCTTAACGAATCAGGGTTGATCATGCTCTCAATTTAATCATTCGTCATCGTAAAAAGGAAATCAATTTTCACCTATTCATACAGTACTTTAGCTATAGTACCAGTTTTATCAGTTGATTGCAGAATTTTAACTTTTGGTTATAGATATCTATAGTTTTTTTTATATTTCTAAATATCCTTTGATTATATGTAGATATAATGCACCCCCGGCTCCTACGCCTATGCTATTTCAATCCAAAGTTAAAATTCTGCAATCAACCGACAAAACAGGTACTATAGCTAAAGTACTGTATGAATAGATGAAAATTGATTTCCTTTTTACGATGACGAATGATTAAATTGAGAGCATGATCAACCCTGATTCGTTAAGCTCGTCAAAACAACGTACTGCTTGATACAACAACAGCCTGGCAATGAAAGCTCGAGTCTTGAACTATCTC